TCTCTCTCTCTCTCTCTCTCTCTCTCTCTCTCTCTCTCTCTCTCTCTCTCTCGCCCTCTCTCTCTCTCTCTCAAGATTAGAGTATTAACTTCAGTATAACACAATATCTCGCTGCACAGCTACACAGGCAAAGGTTCTGTCACGACTCAATCCTATGTCAATGGTTAACATGGTTAAGAGAGGAAAACCTACTTTAGAAGGTGCCTATATTACTCAGTATTATATGTGTTTCCTGCAGCAGAAACTGCTGTCTATCCCATAATTTATCATACATAAACTACATAAGACATGCTACGACTACATAAAAAAATACTATATGTATATATATATATACAGATATATATGTGTGAGTGTGTGTGTGTGTGTGTGTGTGTGTGTGTATATACAGTGGGGCAAAAAAGTATTTAGTCAGCCACCAATTGTGCAAGTTCTCCCACTTAAAAAGATGAGAGAGGCCTGTAATTTTCATCATAGGTATACCTCAACTATGAGAGACAAAATGAGAAAAAAAATCCAGAAAATCACATTGTAGGATTTTTAAAGAATTAATTGGTAAATTCCTCTGTAAAATAAGTATTTGGTCACCTACAAACAAGCAAGATTTCTGGCTCTCACAGACCTGTAACTTCTTCTTTAAGAGGCTCCTCTGTCCTCCACTGGTTACCTGTATTAATGGCATCTGTTTGAACTCGTTATCAGTATAAAAGACATCTGTCCACAACCTCAAACAGTCACACTCCAAACTCCACTATGGCCAAGACTAAAGAGCTGTCAAAGGACACCAGAAACAAAATTGTAGGCCTGCACCAGGCTGGGAAGACTGAATCTGCAATAGGTTAGCAGCTTGGTGTGAAGAAATCAACTGTGGGAGCACTTATTAGAAAATGGAAGACATACAAGATCACTGATAATCTCCCTCGATCTGGGGCTCCACGCAAGATCTCACCCTGTGGGGTCAAAATGATCACAAGAACTGTGAGCAAAAATCCCAGAACCACACGGGGGGACCTAGTGAATGACCTGCAGAGAGCTGGGACCAAAGTAACAAAGGCTACCATCAGTAACACACTGCGCTGCCAGGGACTCAAATCCTGCAGTGCCAGATGTGTCCCCCTGCTTAAGCCAGTACATGTCCAGGCCTGTCTGAAGTTTGCTAGAGAGCATTTGGATGATCCAGAAGAGGATTGGGAGAATGTCATATGGTCAGATGAAACCAAAATAGAACTTTTTGGTAAAAACTCAACTTGTCGTGTTTGGAGGAGAAAGAATGCTGAGTTGCATCCAAGGAACACCATACCTACTGTGAAGCATGGGGGTGGAAATATCATGCTTTGGGGCTGTTTTTCTGCAAAGGGACCAGGACGACTGAAGAATGAATGGGGCCATGTATCGTGAGATTTTGAGTGAAAACCTCCTTCCATCAGCAAGGGCATTGAAGATGAAACGTGGCTGGGTCTTTCAGCATGACAATGATCCCAAACACACCGCCCGGGCAACGAAGGAGTGGCTTCGTAAGAAGCATTTCAAGGTCCTGGAGTGGCCTAGCCAGTCTCCAGATCTCAACCCCATAGAAAATCTTTGGAGGGAGTTGAAAATCCGTGTTGCCCAGCGACAGCCCCAAAACATTACTGCTCTAGAGGAGATCTGCATGGAGGAATGGGCCAAAATACCAGCAACTGTGTGAAAACCTTGTGAAGACTTACAGAAAACGTTTGACCTCTGTCATTGCCAACAAAGGGTATATAACAAAGTATTGAGATGAAATTTTGTTATTGACCAAATACTTATTTTCCACCATAATTTGCAAATAAATTCTTTAAAAATCCTACAATGTGATTTTCTGGATTTTTTTTCCTCATTTTGTCTCTCATAGTTGAGGTATACCTATGATGAAAATTTAGGTATACCCCATTTACAGGCCTCTCTCATCTTTTTAAGTGGGAGAACTTGCACAATTGGTGGCTGACTAAATACTTTTTTTCCCCACTGTATATATCACAACTCATTTTTCAAAAATGAGTTATTTATTCACATTCTCCATTAAAAGACCTTCAGAATGATGTATGATTTGTTGGAATCGGACGATAAATTACTGAGCTACACTCGTTTCAAGTCCATAGAGTCAGCAAAGTCAATTTTGAGAAAATCGAGTTAAAGTTTTCTGAAGGTTCCAAAGCAAAATCACCTGGAACGGTGCATCTTTTCCTCCACTTCTTTTCTTAATAATAATTACTATATTAATAATCACAATATAGCTATTTTTATCTTTGTTATTATAAATAAGAACAAATGCAACAAAAAAAAGAAACAAACAAATAATGCATTAACTGCATCTAAACAAAAGCGTTCAATTAAGAAAAACAAATAATCAAATGAGAAAATCCCTTTGAATCCGTGTATCATTCGATCATTCGTTTTTTGATTTAATATTGAAAGCAGGTCAGAATGACAGTTCTTTCGTGAACATTATAGACCTATATATACCCAAGCCAATTTATTATTCTTTCCTTTTTGTCTTAGTGTTTCAAATATTTATTTTGAAACAAATTAATTTCTTAATTAAACAAACAAAAAAAAGACTTACTGGGTGAGCAGGGTAGGCTATGACAACTGTCATATCATACCCTGCCATGCCCAGCTGATGCAAAGAATAGAATTTATATCTACACAGAAGAAAGCCCTGGCTAGACTCTGCCCCGGTATGAGTTGTGTCCAGCTATTCATTAGCCTGTTTGTTTGATGAAAAAAGATTAAATGTAGTTGCAATAAATGCGTTAAGAATCCATACAACTGCAGCAGGAGAGGACTATTATTCTGTTGCGTGATACTGCGGAAGAACTGATGAAGGCACAGTTTGATCTTCGGCTGACCAATCACCAGAAAGGGGCGTTTAATTCCCGCCCACGTGTAGAAATTGAATATTCAAGCTGTTTATTCAATTTTCCACCCATGAACGAAAAAATGAAAATTTCAGCTGAATTCTCGTTTTTCGTTTTTTGGAAAAAACAAAAAAACGAAAAAGGAGCCGTTTTCTCATTTTTCTACTTTCAATATTAAATCAAAAAACGAATGATCGAATGATACACGGATTCCTTTAGTCTGTTCATTACAAATAAATTGATTATTAAAATTACAAAAGCAGTTCAATAAAGAGCAGTGAGTAATTCCCTCTTTTCTTTTATTGTTAGATTACCATTATGAGGCGGCCTATATTAAGACCTACTGTAATGCACGGATGTAATATAATGTTACACATCAGATGTTTTTCCCCAACCGTTCCCCAAACGTTCACTTAAGACATAACAGATTATGTTTGCGTGTTATTTATTCTGTGTATATGTGAATTCTGTGTATATATTTATCGGGATATATATATATATATATATATATATATATATATTTATTGTAATTCTTTCTTTAATTAAAAAAAAAAAATTCAGTGAGTTTATTTGGTGAAGAATTTGTCAGGCTGATTTAAACTCATAACTGTGCATTTATCTGATTCAATAAAAGCTTTACTTTTTTATGAATCAGACTGCACTAGTCATTCTGTATGTTTGCTTTTGATTGAAGACAGACATAGAAAGATGTGTTTTCTTAGCATTCACTGTGTATGTATGTATATAATTTGGCTTGGACTAATCCATGCAGACCAATCTGCCCTCAAGAAAACAATAATTAGCCTGAGCCACATGAAGCCTTTACATGCATTATTTTCCCTAAATTGCATTTCTTTTTGTGCAGCAGATTCAAGGGTGGACGATTACCATGGTGATTTAATGGACCCTAAGCGCTATTCTGTTGACCCCAGCGACTCGGCCTATGGTGCGATGCCCTCACCGTACACGGCGAATAAACCTGTGTACGGTTTTCGTTCTGGTACCACCTACTCTGGAGGTGTGTGCAGGCAGGCAGCCAGTCCCAGCACATTCCAGGAAGGAAACAGAAGTGGTAAGAAAAAGGAAATGTCCACTTATTCACAGAAGCAGCAGGAGTCTTTCTGCACTACTTTAACCATGTTTTTAGACTAGAAGATACTCACTGTATGTGAGAAGACACCAAGAGAGAATCAAAACACTGAAAACTAAATGGTATATACAGTACAAGGGGTTCACAACCAAGGAGCCGGGGTCCAATAGGGGGCCTCATCAAACTTTCAATCAAATGGAAAGTGATCAAAAAGTTTGCAAACCAGTCAGGTATATACTGATTGTCAACTGTCTTTTCAGTATTTTTACCCTCAGTTTGAATTAATTTGTCCAAAATTTGATGGCTTTTTGTGTGCAACCAAGAATAAAATCCTTGCCATCTGTTAACCTGATTTCTCTCTATCTAGCCTACAGTCCATCCCCAGAAGGAGGGGAGGCAAAGCCCCCACCCAGTAAGGATCCCTCCAGGTGGAGTGTGGATGAGGTGGTGTGGTTTATCAAAGATGCAGACCCTCAAGCGCTGGGCCCTCACGTGGATCTCTTCAGAAAACATGTGAGTTTGATTGACACATTTATTTACTTATGGCAAACAAACACCATGTTTTGAACATGTAGTCAGATAAGAAATCCCTGTGTGGGTAACATTAGTTCAGTTTTAAGTTAGAAAACCCTGGATATGATCAACTCTGTTTCACAACTCAAGCTTTCAGAAGCAATTCAAGTTTACATAATTGTTGAAATAACTACCTGAGCTGAATATTACATGAAAAAATACTTAAAATCTTGCAAATAGCTTATTTAGAGCAGAACACAAGCAAAGTATAATTTAACACTATCTAATGAAATTTCAACCAGGGCTGCACACTTAGCCGAATTGAAATTGGAATTGTAATAAGGCCTTGTGCATTATTAAAGTGCAGAGGGCTGTGATTTAATTCAATCTGGGAATGCGTCCATCTCAGTAGGTGGTCTGAGTAAGCACTGCAGGTTCACTTTAGCTTCACATTAACGTAATTCGCTCCATGTTTGCTACAAGTGAAGAAATAGAGGAAGAGATGATTATTATTATCCAGGTGGAATGTGCAGTTCAGGTCAGATTATGTGAGTAAAGTGGAGTGAAATCCTTATATAATAATTATGTTGGCTTGACAAAGTAACTTGTTCTAGAGCTTGCAAGCCATGACCACCAAACTCAGATCAGATGCAACATGCAATCATCGTGCTAAAATGTGCTAGCAGCTTGTTAAAACGCAATACATGTGCAAAACATGCTAGCAGTGTTACAAAATGCTAAAAAGATGCTAACATTGTGCTAAAACATGCTAAAGTTTTATTAACTTTCTGACTTTGTGAATATAACTTTCAAACTTTATAGCTTTTAAAAGTTTTTAAAATTTTTTTTTAATTTGTCAAGTCAGCATTAGAATTTGTCCTCAAACTTTACTCATCTAGTTAATATTTGTTAATATTTAACTAGTTAATATTACTGCTTCACTGCAAAGTTCTTCAGTGTTTGTTTTTAAGCTCTGCACCACTCACATAACTCTATTAATGCAGTATTTGTTCAAATAACTGTACTTTTTGGGCCAGATTTTTAATGATATCTTCACTAGCTGTTCTGAAACAAACAACAAAAACACATTTCATGTGTACAGTAAGCATTCTGTTGTGGACATTGTGATTACTTCTTCAGGAGATAGATGGGGATGCTCTTCTTCTCCTGAAGAGTGACATGATCATGAAGTACCTGGGACTCAAACTGGGCCCGGCTCTCAAGCTCTGCTACCACATCGACAAGCTAAAACAGAATAAGTTCTGACCTCTCTCTGCACCCTACAAACACTCACAGATGGATTCACTCACAGTATTTACTGTAACTCTCATTTGTTGTTGTACAGGACATTTTTGTCCCCTCTTCTCTGGCCATTTAAGGACAAGTACCAGACCATTTTTTTAACTTGTGCGTTTTGTCTGCCTGTATATTGGGACATTTCACTGACCAGAACATTTCCTTGTTCTGATTTTAAGTGTACAAGTGTTTTATTGATTACTTGATACCTGAACACTGCTCTAATCAAATGGCAAGTCATCTCTGCAGCTTTCTGGGATTTGAGTTATTTGTTCTCAAGCGAGAGTTATGCAGATGAGTTATAAGTGTACATCATGCTTCTTCAAATGGACGGAGTAACAAATGTATTAGGCCACAGACAAACTCGCTCCCATTTTTACAGAGCCATGGACTCGGTCTAAATCCCTGTGAACTTCAGCCACCTGCTGGTGAAGCGGAGTCACTGCAACTTCTGTGACATTTACTACCATTCTAACAAGGAACAATTTAGCTTTTTTGTTTTTGTTATTTTTCTCCAGAGAGCTTCTTCAAAGGCTGCTAATCTGGGAGATCAGTAACAAACAGAATTCAGTGCTGTGCTTTTAACTGAACAGATACAGTATGCACACAGTTTTGGCAGGGTACAACTATGAACAGTTACACTTCACAACCAGCAAATAACAGGCACCAATGCAACTCTACTCATCAATGGACCATTCACATCGTCTTTGGAAAGCCTCCTTGGCAATCTAAGTCAGAACTAAACAGGACACACTACAAGGCAATTACTGCTACAGTAAAAATGGTGCATTACAAACATAGTAATGTGTACCCGATGCTGTTTCTCAACCAGCAAGTCAAGTTTAACTAAACAACTGGTACAGGTACAGTACTTTACATTTCATACTGTGGACCAAATACACAGAGGTCTCATTAGTCTCAAAATGTCTTGCTCTGATACTATACAAATGTCAGCTTGTGATTTTCTTACAAAATATGTACGCTTTACAATAATGTTCAATTCATTCAATACATTGGTATCATGAACTAACAATGAACAGTACATTTACAGCATTTATTAATCTAGGTTAACGATCATGTCTACATATACTACTGTTCAAAAGTTTGGGGTCAGTGCGGTTTTTTTTTTTAACCAAAGATGCGCTTAATTGATCGAAACTGACAGTAAAGACATGGTTTCTACAAAAAATAATAAGTAGCACAATTAGTGAAAATAACAAGAAATGTTTCTAAAGCACATCACAGGAATAAATTACATTTTAAAATGTATTACTTTTTTTATATATATTTCAAGTTGCATAAATTAGTATTAATGTATCATGAACAAATATGAATTAACAATACACAAAAGTATAGTTATAAATGATCATTAACATGGATTAATAAATGCTGTAAAAATGTTGTTCATTGTTAATTCATACCTTCATACTTACTACAATAAAGTTCAATTTGGTCACATTTGTATGGTTGCAACAAAATATGTACAACATGTTTCAACCCACTTCAACCCCAAGTTCTGTAATATTTGGCCTGTGGGTTAGAATTTTCTTTCATAAACGTACAGTGGATTTGTGAACAGAAGCTGAGGTGCTTCTCTGATCTTATGTTTCTGTCAAACACCATGGAAATGTGTGAAAGAGTCATTTAAGTCTCCTGAGGCATTTCAGGAAATTATTATGATTATTTTTGTATTGTTGGTATTTTTCAATTTTGCAAAAATGGCATTCAGAATCACTGTATTACTTTTCAGACTGGTGAACTTGAAGGGACTGTTTATGTAAAAATTTGTATTTTATCATTATTTATTCAACCTCGTGTCATTCCAAACCTGTATGACTTCAAGTGAAATTCAGGTCTGTTCCACAGGAGAAATAAAGTCATACAGGTTTGAAACGACGTGAGGGTGAGTAAATGATGACAGAATTGCCATTTTTAGGTGAACTCTCCCTTTAAGTCTGCTCTGATGATGTCAAACATATCCCAAAGTGGATTACACCGAAGTGTACAACTTTTCTGTATCCGCAATCATGTGTAAATACAATAGTTTATGTTGTAATTGTTAAAGAGCGAATCAAGTACAGTTTAGATCCGATCATCTGATGAACGCATCCTGCTTTAACACGTAAACAGCTACCAAGCCTTGCTGTGCTAGACTTCATTGTTGTACAGTCTGCCTCTTAAAGCGACTGCTATGCTAACCTGAGCATCTGTACAGAAACATTGTTTATAATTTTGCACTTTTTTACTTTTTATTGTAGCATCAGTTGTCCTGGGTAATAGCTCTCTCAATGAAAACTGCACACGTGGAGAATCATAAAAAATGTAGGCACCAGAAATTAATCAAGGGAATTAATCAGTGAGCTCTTAAATCTGGTGCTACATTAAGAAGTTAGGGTTCTTCATAAGTAAATCTACTGATTTGAAAAGTAGAGTATTCATTTTTGCATAAACAGCCTCTTCTGATTGGTTGGAAAAAGTTTGAAGGAATAAACAATAGGTTTTGGGCTTAAATCATGTGATGTTTTTAACACCGAGACCCAAGATTATAGAAATTAATTACTCATGTGTGATGTTCAAACTCTTGTATTAGCTTTAAAAGCATTTTTAAACATTTCCAATCATGTATTCAAACAGTGGGAATATCGTGTTAGTTTTAAAAGCCCTTTAACTGAGTAATAGCAGCACTGAGCTTTTAAATATGTTTGCAAGCACTCCTTTCTATGGCTGCTGCACTTAACTAAATCCTACTTCATGTAGGAAGCCTTGACACTTTCATAACAATCTTTAATAATGTTTAGGACCGTTTATGACCTCATGCAGATATTCTGCAGCTAATATTGACTAGCCCTGATGTTTCTGGCTAGATATTACCAATGTTTGTGTCAGGAATATGAGTGGGCTTTTAGGGATAATCTTTTCTTCAGTTCAGCTCTGGATCATTTCATGTGTGTGCATATGTCAGGTTTGCGTTCGCCTCCGCACCATGTCGTTTCTTGTCATTTTTGATATAATGGAAAATGTAAGTGTACATTTATGAATGCTGCTCTTGATGATAGTCCCATGTAAGATTTGTCAGCTCACAAAAGAGTTTTAATGGAAAAGGGGGGACTATAACACGGACCATTCATGTTGGTGCTATAATATGACTGTGTATTTAACAAAGAATGATTTTATGGTTGGTTTGCTTTATTTCTTCAGATAGGCTTCAGTGTTGTGAACTCTTGTGACTGACAGCAGGCGCTGCATTGCGTGTCTGTTTGTGAGGTTAATATAGAGCATTATGAAAGAATAAAGCATTATGAACACCCTGAACTCTTTACTGTATTTGTAGTTCTATATCTCACTAAATATATCGCTGTTTGTATTTCCTGTGTTTCTGCAGACAGACACAACTCAGCACATACAAATGTTGCACTATGTTCAAGGTTCATTCTTAAACCTTTTGAATAAAGTCTTTTCTGCATTTGAGAGAATGTAGAATGTTCAAACAACTCCCAAACTTCATACATCTAGTCTTGTTTTAAAGAGCAACATGGCTATTGTGCCAATTTTCAAAATTCAAGGTAAATTCACAAAAAAAATATTTAATTATTAAATATTAATTCACTTTAAAAATGTAATCAAGTGGAAAAGTAAAATAATAAATTGACCAAACTGGCATAAATAGATGTTTAAAACTGTATTAAACATAAATTTATGTTTGAATAATTCTTTTAAATAGATGTTTTAAAAATGGATATTTAAAATGAAATTGACAAATATTTAAAACTTGTTAAAAAATAATAATACATGTATCAATCAAATTGGCATAAATTGATATTTAGAGTGGTTTGATTTGAATATTTTATATATATATATATATATATATATATATTTTTTTTTTTTTTTTAATGAATGAATGAACTAGTCCTCCATATGAAGACACTTAAATTAGACCTTAAAAAATTGGGAATATTAATATTACCTGTTATGTTGTGTTGTGCTGACTGTTTTATACGTATAGGTGGCACTGTTGTGTCTTAAATGTGTTGTGTGTAAAACAGCCCCAACACAACATGGGCTAATATATCATACTTCACTCTCTCGCCTCCATGTATAAATTGAGGAGTTAGACAAAACACCCCTGGTGTATTTAAAAACTATACTTGTTAATAAAAAAAACTACCACCCCAATGGTTAATAAGTGTGGTGAACTGCAATTATTTTGCACTGAATTTAAATTGTCAAACCTGATGACAAGCAAATAGCTTTCAGCCAAATACATTTATTTATTCCTTCCATCTTTCATTGACAGGACAGTATATAAGAAAGTAGATGGGAAAGTTGATATTCACCACTTGTTTTCATGGCAGGGAATTTTTAACCTGAGCTCCAGTTATATAAAATATTCACATCATGAGTGTGTTCTATTATGTTTTCACTTAATTTTTTTTTATTATTGTCTGTTTTTTTTTGATGGCGTTAAAGAGCAACCACGCACAAGAAAAAGATTACGAAAAAATGTAGGGATTATCCCCTGCTAACAGCGGGAGCCACAACGGTACGCACAATAGGTCAATATTCACTATTAACCAAACGCTTTCCCCTGTCTCAGCATCTCTCACTGTTTACTCTCACTTACACTTTTAATCCGTAATAGAGAGCGTGTCACACCTGCCTCAAGACCTTTTACCGTTTGCACTGCACTTGATGCACTTAAGCAAACAAACAGAGCAAATCTACATGTATTTACCTATTTGCAACCTATATCTTATTCCTATCTAATAGCCTATGTGC